CTGCTCTTCTGTATGATGGTTGCTATGTATTAATGTATTGTTGTATGAATGTTGTTACTTGTGGTGAGTGTAAGCCTTTATCTTGTATTCTCATCTATTCAGTACATGGTATGTTGTAATGATATCCACCTTGCTATGCGCTTGAAATGCGGTTGTGCCCCAATCATGAATTCATCACGTGATTGGGATAGAATCACATCTTGGGCGCTACAAGTTGGTATTAGAGCCTTATCGAGCTTAGGAGCCCCCTTGATTGATCGAACCGCTGTCGTTGTTGAGTCTAGAAGAAAACTATTCTGAGTCTTAGTTATATCAGAGAGTCGGAATTCTTTTTACTCCTCAGCCCCTTCGTCGCTCCGGTGAGGACTCCTGACGTAGATGTTTTGTCTTCACTCTTCTCTTTTTCACTCAATTTTTTTAGGATCACGCGGGTATTGTTGGATCGTTGCGATATCATTGTGACAGGAATTCTGTCTTGGTGCCTCCTGACATTTAGGGGTTGTGGCAGTGTCCCGGGGAGTTGAGCTCCAAGGTATTTTTGTCACAGTGCTTATCGTTTCAGTTCCGGAGTACCAGAGGTCGCCGACATCGAAAACGCTTCTATACTCCTTGTAGTGAGAGTAGTTTGATGACACCCAGTACTGGGGACAGCGATCAGATGTATTGCAACATCTAGTATATCAGATGTTTTCAAAGGTCTGAGGTACACGATTTTCGGAGGTTTCTTGGTTATGTGTCGACGGATGGATACGGTTGGAGCGTAGGGCTTTATAGTTGTGTGATATATTTGTGCCTCCCTGTATCCCCAACACCTGATTGCATAACTAGAAAGTTTCTGGAGTTAATAGGTGGGAATTCAAGTAGTTACCTAGGATATCTTTCCGACAGATGCATGATATGAGATTGGGGTTCGACGTCTAGTGGTCCGGCTGTCCACGGTTGGTTTTACAGTGGTCTCGTTGTGTCTTAAAGAGTCCTTGGATATGCTGACTCGGGGACGCTTCGTATGTCATGTGCACTGCCCTATACATGATGGTGCTATATGATCGAGCCCGTGCAGGCCCCACCATGAAAACTTCGGAAGAAATCTCTATCATATGTTTGTTTCCGGCTTATTCTGCGAGCCAAATCCTTGTTTTGTTTTTGTTGTGGTATTTGAGTTGCTTCGATGTCAAGTGTTGATTCCATACCTTATTCTAAGAGGTGTTCTCATGTTTCTATGGTAGTTCTAATCCTTCTTGTTTATCGAGATTGTCATGACAATTCTTTTCCAACCGGTTCGCTTCTCATCAAGTTGATCCTATCATTTTCCCCATTCGCAAGATCACCTCTCAGTTTTCCCAATGTTGTTCATTTCATCCGTCCCCAAGTTGCCTTTGTTTTCCCGCCCTCCCACCCTTTTCTTCAAGGACTCAGATTTCTTAATCAAGTATCCTTTTTATTGATGGGAAGTCTCTCCATTCTTTTCCGTCAATGTTCTTATTCGGTGATTCTCAGGAAGATACTAAGGAAGCTTCAAGTTTATCATTCTTCATCCTTGGATTCTTTTCCGGTGGATTAAATTCAAGTTGTAGCTGTTGATCATATCCCTTACCTTGTTTCAAATGCTTTCTCGTGTTGGAAGTTCTTATCCAAGCATCTCTTGATCATTAACATTGCGATACTTGTATCCAGAGTGCTGAAGATATCTCAGAAGATTCATGTTTCCATTCTAAATCCGTTCAAGCTGTTTGGAGATTATTATCTCATTCAAGTCATTTAATTCAACCGGTGCAATCTCTCTTCAAAATCATTTCAACGACTTGAGTGGGCCCTAACCCACAGGTCTTTTCCCAGGATCTTACCTGACTCTTCTAATTTATCCGGAGTGATTCCCAAATTCTTTTCAAAAGTGTGACGTAAGAATGAATTGTCATCAGTCATATGTCTTTCTCCAAGATCTTTCACATTCTTTTCATCGTTGGTTCAACCTTTTTTATTCTTCATTCCGGAGTGCCTCAATAACTCATGGTTGTGGTTCTCGTCGTCATTCTTGGATTTTGAAGACCGAAGAAATGTTCCTCTTAAATCCTTACCCGTTCTTCCAAATATTCATGGTTCTAGCTTTATGCCATCCTCTCATAATTGTTTTTGATTGTGAGAATTCTTTTCACCCATTCGGAGCAATTCAGGAGTCTTTTCAGTTTGATTCTCCAGAGCCGATCATCTCAGAATTATTCATTCTTAGCTTTCAGCTCTCGTTCTCCAAATCTTACCGGTGCATCGCTCGAGTATTCTCTAGTCAGCTTGTGATCTCTTCGTTCTCTTGTATCTAAATTTTCCCCAAGAATCTTTGTTCGTTTTCTAATTCTTCCCGGTGATTTGTCCCTTTGCTACGTTCATTTTCAATTCATCTGGTGGTTCGTTGAAGACCTTCCTCAAGTTTGCGCTATATCTCTCCTTAATCCTTCTCAACTAGAATAAGTAGTATGCCAAATCCGTTTCTTGTCATCAGTTTAAGTTGATGAAGGATAAACATACAGTAAATCTTATTCTTGTTTCCTTGAGGTGATTCAATTCTTTTCTTCCGGAGTTCGTTCATGATATCAATTTGTCGGTGCGAAGTTGTTCATCTTTTGTTTCCAGAGTTCCAAGCTCTCTCAATTATCTCATCCAAAAGCGCCATCTAAATCATTGCAAGGCTTCGTCTTGTTCTTTTCAAATTTCCTTTCATTGGATCATTCTTTCTTACCGGAGTTCTTCATGGAGGCTCTACATGGTGGTTCATCAAGGATTTAATTCATTCTCGAAGTTTTCTTCAAGATTCTTGTTGGAGGAGTTCAAGCATTCTTCATCTTGCATCCTGAAGTGCAATTCTTTCCACCTTATCTTTTGAGGTGGTGTTATGTCATTCTTGACAATTTCCCTTCGTGTTTCAAGGTCCAGAAGTTGTTAAGAATGAGATATTTAAACCCATCATTTTCTATTCGTTCACGAGATACTTTGCAACCCATCAATCTCTTCATTGGAGTTATCTTGGGTTATATTTCACCTAAAGCCTTCCCTAAGGAATGTTGCTATTATGGTGTTTATTAATGATCCAAGTTTCCTCCTATTCTCGCGGTGAAAGACGTTTTTCCATCTCTTCGTTCCTCTCAGCTAATCAATCTTTTGGTAGTGGCTGGTTGTCACCTCATAATTTTGAGATGTCTCCATAAGCCCACGAGGATCATATCCTCTCGTATTGATCTTCCAACAACTCCGTTCAATCCTTCTTTTTAAGGATGCTCTCTTAAATTCATTTTAGGTAGAACATGTTGTTTTCTTCTCCATTCTTTTGATTCCATTTTTACATTTGTTCCGGAGGCATTGTGATGTTGCTCTCTTCGACCCATCATCTCATTTTGTAAATATCATGTTCTTTTCTTTGCTTATCTGTTTAGCCGGAGTGTTGTCTTTTCATTCGAGTTCTTTCCATCTTATCAAGTCTTGCATCTCTTTTGAACCGGAGTGTTGTTCGAATTTGTTCTTCCTTGTTCCTTGTCTATCTCGTTTCAACCAGAGTGGTTTCAGTTCCTTCTTGTCCATTGTGCTCGTCATTCATAGCTTCCCAACCTCCAAGGTTCACATGGTGTTCCTTATTTCTCTTTTCGACCTGAGTGCTCTCAATTTCGTTCAACTCTGTTGTGTTCTTTCTTTCAAGTTTTCAGTCTCTCAAGGTTCATTGGTTTCACTCGTTTATCAACAAAGCAACTTTGTTTTACCTATTCCGTTTCTCCCCGGTGCCATCCTTAGATCTCGGGACGAGATCTCTTGTAAGTGGAAGACAGTTGTGACGCCCCAAGACCGACGCTCCAGACGCCTTCCATGTTTTTCGTTGTCCCCGTTTGTTTTATTTTGTTGTTGCATTGCATCATGTCATCATTCGCATTGCATCATGTCATCATGCCATTAATTTTTTTGTAACCGTTTTAAAACTCAAATAAATTTCATGGATTTTCGGTCCATTTAAAACGAGGGAATTCACATGGTGATTTCCCTTTATAACATATCCTCAATATATTAGGGGGCTATAATAAATATTCCATTAACTTGGAATCACCCATAACACATTTGCATTATTCTTCAACTCTTTTTTTATTCGACTCAACTTCCTATCCTTCCTTTTCGACCTTTTAGTAAAATTGAGTTGCAATTTTACTTCTCCATAAATGTTCCAAATCTGCCCATAAATCACATCTGGTGTGTAGGGTCACCCCTTATAATTTTAACCCATTTGGAGTTCATTTGAATGGGTTTCGAAATTCAAACTTGCCTGAGTTAAATCCAATAGGTGTGGATTTTACTTCCTCTAAAAAATCCTCAGGCTAGTTTTGTCAAATTCCTCTCATTTTTGTGAGTCCAGGAAAACAATCCCCATGCCCAAGTTATTTCCTAACCCTCTTTCTTTTATTCTCTCTATTTCTTTTTCTGCTAAAGAATAAAAGAGAAGGGAATAGAAGAGAGAGAAAGCCAGCCCAACTGGGCCTCCCAACCTCCCGCGCCGGCCCAACTTGGACACCTGCACCTAAGGCCTAGCCGTTTGCCTCCTAGGCCCATCCTCCCTCTCCTCTTAACCCTAGGTACCCGACCGCTCAGCCGATCCCCATCTCCCCTCGACCCGATCCCCTCTTCCTCGATTCGCCGTCAGAGAGAGAGAGAGAGAGTGAGAGTGAGAGAGAGGGAGGGAGGGAGAGAGAGCATCTCGAGCGCCATGGCCTCCCTGATGTGAACCGCCGCCTGACCCCACCAGACTCCGGTCGCCGGAGACCACCTGTGACCACGCCTTCCCCTGGTTTCTTCTTCCCCCACGCCGTGCCTGATCCCCATGGCCACGCCTCCCTGTCGCCGCTGCTTAATCACGGCCTTGCCTCTCCTCCCGTGCTCGACGCCGCGGGCGCACCAAGGGCGCCTCCCTTGACCGTCGTTGCCCAATGATGCTTCGTCCGCTGACCCCGGCTTCTAGCCATCCCGCTTTGCCTCTACCTCCGGTGGCCGTGGTGCCTTCTTCCTCTCCTCTGCTTGTGTTCCTTCCTCGCGCACGAACGGGCAGGCGCGCTGCCCTCCTGCCTGCACCGCGCCATGGCCATCCTGAGGCCATCGCCGCGCAACACCTCGTCGACCTCCTCCATTCGCGGGCCCTGCCGCCAAGCGCCCCTCGGCCCTTGCTCCGTCGAGCTCTGTCCTGCTGCACCCCGCCATGGGCCACCGGCACCACCTCGGGAACCCCTGCCCGACGCCATGGCCGGGCCTAGTTCAATTTGTCTCCACTGACAAGCCACACGGCTTCCTGTCGAGGCCTTTGGCGAGGCTTTGTTTTGGATCGTACCAAGGCCATCGTAACAGGAATGACGAGACTGCATCCGAAACGCCATGTACCCCCATTCGATTCTTCAAGCCAGCAAGTACCTGGACGCCCGTGGACGTCAAATACCTCTACGACCCGTCAAATACCTTTACGACCCATGTACGACTACGTGATTTCATCGAGTACCCTTCAGATGCGCCAAGTTCGACTACATGGACCATCAAGTTCCTCTACCGATGACTCGAACGACTACGAAAAGTGTACCACTACCGTCGATCCGCAAAGACCCTATAAACGTCAAGTTCCTTGTCGTGACCCCGAACATCTACGGACATGAACGAGTAGTTCCTCTTCAACTCGTGAATCACTACTTTCACTATGACCGTCCTGAGAACGTCTACTTCCCCTACACCGTATCGAACCCGATCCGCTTTGAAAACGCACACTTCTAAGGTATAACCGCCGAGACGACCTTCCAAGAACGAATGCTTTTGTTGTATGAGATGCTTGTGTTTGCATCGTGTCCGAGTGTCATTGCATGGTCCTCCTCGTTTTTCGTGCATCGACCCGTGGGAACCCGGTAACCGGGATCACCCCACCATCTCTAGCATGTTTCGCACATCCACACACTTGCTTCTTTTGCACCGATATCTCAATGAGTTGTCGGAACCGGACCGTTGTCGTGGCACCGTTTTTGTTATCGTCGCCGGGGCACCCTTTTTTTCCACCACGGTGACAAACGCTTCATAACAGGCTCATGTAACATTTTCATAAAATTGCATAAAACTTGTATATGTCATCTGCATCATGATAACAACATTTAAATGCTTAAAATTGTTGCTTGCATTAAATTGCTAAATGATATATGGGGATTTTCGGGAATTGTTGTTTGTTGTTCCGGCCTCATTTAAACTTATCTAGATAGCTAGTCTTATTATGCTTCACCTCTTGCCATGTTTAACAACATTTAATATTGTTGGGTACATAAACAAGAGGGAACTAAATTAATGAATATGGTTTTTCGTCAATATGCAACTCGTTGCATATTAAGGTCCACTTAATTTGTAGTATTGTTTGTTGCACTTTGCCATGTCATGCCTCATTAAACCGAACATGCATCATATGCTTGTTTGTGCATCATGCGATGTTTATGTGATGGTTGTTCACCATGGTGTTTGCTTCTTTCCGGTTGCGCTTCTCCATGATAGTTCTGGTTGTGTTGCTATTGTGAGGATCCGTTCGACTATGTTGCTTCGTCTACTTCATGGATCCGGTCTTCTTCTTATCGGGATTTCAGGCAAGATGACCGTTACCCTGAATACCACTTCTATCTTTGCTTTTGCTAGTTGTCTCGATGCTATCTCTATGTCGCACTACCTATCAATTGTTTATCAAGCCTCCCAAATTGCCATGATAGCCTCTAACTTTTTTCACCTTCCCAACAAACCGTTGTTTGGCTATGTTACCGCTTTGCTCAGCCCCTCTTATAGCATTGCTAGTTGCAGGTGAAGTTGCAAGTTGTTCCATGTTGGGACATGGATATCATGGATATGATGGGATATCACAATATCTCTTATTTAATTAATGCATCTATATACTTGGTAAAGGGTGGAAGGCTCGGCCCTATGCCTGGTGTTTTATTCCACTCTTGCTGCCCTAGTTTCCGTCATACCTGTGTTATGTTCCTTGATTTTGCATCCCTAACATGGTGAGGGTTTACGGGCCCCTCTTGACAGTTCGCTTTGAATAAAACTCTTCCAGCAAGGCCCAACATTGGTTTTAACATTTGCCATCATAATACTTGAACCTAATAATTAATCTGCATAGGGCGTCATGAACCCGAGTTTTTTCTACATAGCAGGGGGCCAGTGCTGATGGTGTTGGTCCCCAACGGGCAGCCTACGGGGCCACCTCGGGGAAACTCGAGGGTTGGGTTTACTCGTAGCTTGTCCCATCTAGTGTACCCTGAGAACAAGATCGCACAACTCCTATCAGGCTAGGTCGGTGTATCGGGAGGTCTTGCTGGACTTGTTTTACCATTGTCAAAATGTCTTGTGCACTGAGATTCCGAGTTTGATCGGGTGTCCTGCGATGGAGGATTGTCTCCGTGGATCGTGAGCTTCTCATGGGCTAAGTTGGGACACCCCTGCAGGGTTTAAACTTTCGAGAGCCGTGGCCGCGATTATGTGGCAGATGTGAATTTGTTAATATCCGGTTGTAGAGGACTTGAAGTAAACTCAATTAAAATACACCAACAGCGTGCGTAACCGTGACTGTCTCTTTTTGGGGAAGTTCGAGAGGAGAACACGGTTGGGTTATGTTTGAACATAAGTAGTTCATGATCACTTCTTGATCATTACTAGCTTGCGACCGTTGCGTAGTTTCTCATCTTACTCTTGTACTCGTAAGTTAGCCATCATACTTTGCTTAGTCGCTGCTGCAACCTCACCACTTATACTTTCTATACCCATTAAGCTTTGCTAGTCTTGATACCCATGGTAATGGGATTGCTGAATCCTCATGGCTCACAGATTACTACAACAATAGTTGCAGGTACAGGTAATGCAATGGTCTGACGTGAGTGCGATGCTTGCTTGTTTTGGAGTTCTTCTTCTTTGATCAAGGGATAGGTTCCGGGTCGGGGAACCTGGGATTAGTAGGGTAGATGTCGTTCTTCTTTTTCATTTGATTTCATTCATAGTCAAATCCTGCTCTTTTGTATGATGGTTGCTACGTATTGATGTATTATTGTATGAATGTTGTAACTTGTGGCGAGTGTAAGCTTTTATCTTGTATTCTCATCTATTCAGTACATGGTATGTTGTAATGATATCCACCTTACGATGCACTCGAAATGCGGTTGTGCCCCAATCATGAATTCATCACGTGATTGGGATAGAATCGCATCTTGGGCGCTACACAATCCTTCAGGATTTTCTTTTGAAAAACATAGTAATAACTTCGTAGTTAGCAATGTAGGTGAGTTTTAGAAGAATTTATGCAAAACATGCATGGATGTCGTAATAGTACAAAATCTTACCATGACATCTCCATGGATGTTACCGTAGTTTAACACATGCACTAGTGGCACGTATTGACCATAATGTGGAGGAGTTTGATAATAGATATTGTAATTCTTGAGATCAGTACAAAATGCTATCAGATGATTTTTCTCCTGATAGGTTAATTCTGAGCCATCGGTGTAGTAGGTTCTGTCTACCATCTTCCGCACATTGTTTGAAGAATGAAAATAAGCTGTCAACTATTTTGAAATAAACAATATAAATTAGTTAATAACTATGTTTGAGAAACTCACATAGCGGTAGAATTGGAAGCGTGTCAACAAGGACTCAAATGTCCATATTGTCTTGGTCGATGTCAGGATCACCAAGATCCATGGTGACCAGCATACCCTCATAAAAACCATACATCTTGCAAAGTGCTTCCCAATTTGTGCAACCAAAATGGGTTACACTCTCAGAATTGTATATATTTACTTCAAAATCCATACCATGATGGGTCCTTAGGTGAAGTTTCTTTGTTTCAAAATTTTAATGGTCTTCAAAATCCATCCTCTCCAAGACATAGCATCTTGCATGGTATGGGATAAGCTACTCAAATTGTAAAAGATGAAAATTACATGTTGAAATAGTTGAAGTCATGCTCAATTATGAAAAAAAACACTTGTCGTCGTTGCGTACCGTTTCAACATCAAAGGTCTCCTGGAGCTTAATGCTGAAGCGCCGACCTTCGTCCAGGTGAGGCCTGTCGCACAGACCCCGGTCGTCGTTGCACCAGTCGCACTCCCCCGGGAGACTTTTGTCGTCCGATAATGACATTTCCTAGGTTCATAATTCAAAGATTAAACTTGTACAATTCAATATATGTACTACAAAAACTAAATTAGATCATTATTATTCATCATGGGTTGACTATGGGTCTGCCGAGTCTTTTTCTTGAAAACTCTCAGCTCGCGTGGTGTATACATTCGACCGTTGGTGATGATCGCTCCTCCTTTCGTCCCCGAGTGCATTACACCAAAATGTCTAGCACTCGGGAACGAAGGAGAAGCGACCCCCACGACAACAGTCGGGATTTTTCATCCTCTCATATGTGATGGAGACTCTCACTCACGGATTCCTCTCTGACATTTGCGACCGTCTGTGATGGTCGTTACTCCTCCTTCCCCTAGGGCATAACAAAGGTCTAGCACCCGGAGAAGAAGGAGAAACGACCCCCACGGCAATAATCAGGATTCTTCGTCCTCTCTCATATATGGTGGATACACCCCCTCACTGATTTTTCGACCGTCGGTGATGGAGCCTCGACAGACTCAAAGTCAACTCGAAATGTCGTTTAATTATTTATTAGAAAATCCAGGCCACTCAATATTTCCTACATATTCTAGCACAAGTCATGCCAGAATTCATGGAAAAAATCCGGCATGACCTTTGCTAAAAAAGGACATATCGAGCGCCTGAAATTTGCCGGAACGTAAATTAATCAACACTCCGTCAAAACATAGGCCACTCGGAGGTGTAACCTGCAAACATGGCTGGTGTGACACCCCTGATTTGACCGTACACTAATCATACACGCAAACGTGTACGATCAAGATCAGGGACTCACGGGAAGATATCACAACACAACTCTACAAATAAAATAAGTCATACAAGCATCATATTACAAGCCAGGGGCCTCGAGGGCTCGAATACAAGAGCTTGATCATGGACGAGTCAGGGGAAGCAACAATATCTGAGTATAGACATAAGTTAAACAAGTTTTCCTTAAGAAGGCTAGCACAAACTGAGATACAGATCGAAAGAGGCGCAGGCCTCCTACCTGGGATCCTCCTAAACTACTCATGGTCATCATCAGTGGGCTGCACGTAGTAGTAGGCACCTCCCGAGTAGTAGTAGTCATCATCGACAGTGG